AAAAAAAAAGTGGATTCTGTTTTGCTACTTTTAGTGATTTCTTTCTATAGCAGTTTCTTCTGCACCTTAGTTCTTCAGGGAAGTAAGTCCTGAAATGGGGACAGAATTTTGGCAGATAAAAAGGAAAGTGGTCAGCTGGTGTTAGCAAAGCCACAGACCTTTTACAGAGGCTGAGGATTTGGCAGATTCTCTGTTAAAGGAAGCCAGCTTCTTTCCAAGCAGAAAGATCATGAATTAGCACATAAGATACTTGTGGCAAAGCTTAGTATTAAATTGCTATGTTTAGTGCATAGCATGGGGAGACATACTGTGTCATTGACATTTTAATGACCTTTTCTGTCCGGAGCTCTGTTTAAAAACTCAGTGGCTTGATGAGACTCATACCAACAAACACTTAAACTGACTTAGTGACAGAGCTGGGAAAAGGTGTGGACAAAATGAGATTGTAAAAGTCTTGCTCTGGCATGTGTAAGCAATGGGAAAGTAGAAACTTCAAATGTCCCTGCTGTTCACCCACCCCTTGATCTGATTCTTCCCACTCTTTTCTGGGGAACAGAGCCCGAAAGGAAGGAGGCTGAGGCATGTTTCTGAAGCAGGCATCTGAGAAGACCACTGTTGAATAAGGACCTTACCAAGGACAAACATGTTCTGTGTAAGGAAGGTGCTTACTTTGAGCATATGTATTAACGGCCAACTCCTTTTAAAGCTAATTGCAAATCTCCTCCCTTTCAGTCACCCATACAGGATGTAAAGAACTAAAAATTCCTCCCTCCCCTCAAGTTATTTCTAGTGTCACTGCCATTTGTAGTCTCAAACAGCAGTTTATACTACTGAGAATAAAGGGGGGGAAAATATGGAAAAAAAGGACAGGTTTTTTTTTTTGGTTTTTGTTTTTATGGCAGCTTGTTAACTCTGCAAGAGGTTTTTCAATCAGTCAAGTCCAGGGCTTTTTATGCATCTCATTTCCACTATTCTGGTAGCATTTGCTTTGAAACATAAAGACAAAATTCCTCTTTTGCCTTTCATATGTCTAATTAAGAAGATATCAGTAAGGGTCTTACTAAAGCCCGTTCCCCACATACTATTCTATTAGAAACAAACCAAGAGTAGAAACTGCACATCCTTCTTCACAACCATAAGGGCACCACCAGGGCTGGGGACTGCTAGGGGCTGGCAAATCCCATCCTACCAACTGCAGCCAGGGAGCAAGGCAGCTGGAGTACAGCCCCAGCCCAAGGCATCAGGTGGCCCTGAGGGTAGATGGGCAGCCATGGGCTGAGCTGAAACAGGGTCCTAGACCCTTGAGCTGGGGTTGAGGAGGCTCCACGGGAGTCTGGGCAGGGCCGAAAAGGCTTAGTAGTGCCCTCAGGGCCCTGAGAACAATTAAGAGAACTGCAGTCATTTACTCTTCCTGTCAAGAAGCATAATTTAAAATTAGTCTCCTGGATTAAGGGTTTAAACAGGCTTTCAGAGAACCTTTGCTTCCTGATTTAGTGCTTTTATTTTTTTTTTTTTTTTTAAGCAGGTATTGCTATACCATTCAGCTTCATTAAGAAATCCTGGAGCATTATGCTCAAAGCAATAAGCACTATTCCACCATCAGCAAACTCAAATGATGGAAATCATGTAATTACCATGCACCACCATTATACCATCCAAAATGGCTGCAGAACGCTGCTGAAATGACCATGAAGGTACTGGAACTGAACTCTACAGGTACTAGCTTGGTCTGTAGGAGTTCATTTGTCTGCAACAAAATCTGCTTTCAAAGCCCCCAGAGCACCTCTCTACAATATTATAGTGGAGAATAACAAGCTCTCTGCATGGTAAATATTGTCAAGCTGCAAGTAAGAATTACCTTTGTTAAATCCTTAAGTTTGCTAATTTATCAGTCCAGTCAAGAAGTTTCAGAGTTACTCCTGAGGTTGAAAAGCACATTTTTGCACATTTTATTTAGCACATGCTGCACAAAAATTACTAGCAGCCAGTAATTCAGTGAGGATTTTAATGGTGTCTGCCTTCCCACCACCACAACATGCATAACATCAGCTGATGTCCCCTCTCATGAATGAAAACCTCTAGCATGTCTTGGTAATAATAACATTCCCTAAAAGAAAACTTACAGAAAAGACTGAAGCTATGAAGGGGAAAGAAAACCCCAAACCATCCCCCCAAAAAAACCCACCCAAATAAAACCCCTACATCAAGGAGACCTGTAATTCACCTTGAGTTACGTTAGAGCGTTTAGTACACAAAACTAGGTGAAGGGCTAAAATGGAAACGAAGAAAACAGAGCTCTCTTTCTGAAGGAGAACAAAGCTGGTCTGTTAATTAAAGACTGCACGTCTCCAGGTTCTTCTGATACAAGGACATACAGCTTCAGACTTCCTGTGTGGGCTTGGTATCATTCCTATTTTTTGATGTATTAGGTGGTTTCAAAACACCTTTTAAAACTGTAACAGTTTTTTATCATTTACCTTAAGCTCCTGTTAATAATGGTTTGCTTTAGCTACTCATAGCATCTTGTGCTACCATCAATGTGACGCTATAGCTATTATTCAGAGGGAACTATAAATATGAACTAATCTATATGAATTTAAAGTGAGACGTTCTCTGTCCCAAACACTTCAGGCTGAAGAGAGACAGGACACATACATCGTAAGATACAGAAAAAAAACATAGGTCAAAGGAGAAGCATGATAAAATGAAAGAGAAAGAAAAGTAAACCAGGGATGTTAATCTGAGATCACAAATATATGCAGGCATATATATGCTGCATAGAGTGAGTTTTGATGATATTGAACGTGAGAGGGCTTATTAAGTGGGCAAGTGGGGTACAGAGAGGAGAAAAGAAAGGAGGACTGAGAGAGTGTGGCAAGCAAACACTAAAGTGAAATTGTGAGGCAGAAAGATGAGGACAGTTACATTTGCCAGTTGTGATAGAGACAGTGACAAGACTATGACAACAGAAGGAAATACGAACCAGATTTCCTGCTTGACTAATTTGCTGGTTCCCTGAGAAGAGCCAGGGTGGAGAGCTGCAGGAGGGCATTGTACTTTTCTTTGCTTATGTCAGTGCTTGTGCTATCAGCAGTCTCTGATGTGTTTCAGGATAGATTCAGGGGCTCTCTTAATTTCATGTCCTTTGGGGACACTTGCCCTGCCAGCACTTGTGAGAGTGAGAAGTGGGACTAGCTCAATCAGTGCACCTTTCAGAAGTGATGGGGCAATTACATGGCACAGAATTAGCTCTGTGAGTTCTCAGGTGTTCCGTAAAACCACCAGGGAATCTAAAATTAGAAAACTGGAAAAAATATTACTCCTAGCCCCCATTTTCCAAGCTCTAGTCCAGCTCTGGTAGCTAGCCAGCTCAGTCAGTTAGAACCCTGTCCTGCTTCAGGACAAAAACCTCCAACCCCTTCTCTGTTCACATCCAATTTTTCCCAGTGCAAGCACCACAGGCAGTAGCTCCCTGGCTGTTTCTTTGGGTTTGTGTGGTAGACTGCTGCTGAACGACCTTTCATTTCTGTAACTGCATTCCACAGACAAGCTAGAAACTCAAGTGCAATGTATAAGCCTTGTTTCACTTTTGCAAGATATCCAGTAACATCTGGATGAAATACAGGAGCAGGGTCAGATTACTGCTGCTAGAAGAGCAGCGTTAGAAGTGTCAGCTGGAGGTGTCAACAAGAAGCATAAGCCCTTCCTGTGGAAAAGAATGCAAATATATTTGTAGCATGCTGCTTCAGCTGCCCCTTTGCAGGGACCAGCCTCTGCAGCTCTTAGTTACCAGGTTTGTAAATTGCCATCTTATTACTGCTTCAGTTTCATCACCCCTTGGATGATTAGTGCTGAAAAGGACCATGGCAGCTGCCCGTCAGTGCTTGGAGATATGTGTGGATCTCTTTTGGCTTTGGAGTGTTGAACCAGGGAGTCATGCTCACTGTTGCACAGTCTCTAAGGAGGTTGCATGGCAAGTGTTAAACCAAAAGGAAAGCTGTAACAATAAAAGGAAGACAGTAACCTTAGGAAGGCAATAAATGGCAATGGATGTTAGCTGCTCTTACAGACTTCAAGGATGTAATAAAGCTATACTGTTAATTGCAATTTTAACTGTTGCTTACGCTGTATCAGAGTAATTCATTCCAGGTACTTACAACACTCAATCTTAAACAACACTAAAGCAAAGTCACCAACAGTGTGAATTTGTAAGATCTGTTTGCTGTAGAAGCATTAGCGGTTGAGGCTGGAACAAAGAAAGTAAATGGCACATTTCAATACAAAAGTCATCTGAGCCTTTACTATAGAAGTAATAAGGCATTTATTATTTCAAGAGCCCTGCATTCACAATATCCCCTTTCGAAAGAAAACACCCCTTCGTTCCCATTTTTTATGAGGCTAATTTGTAGTATGCCACCACTGTGAGACTTCCGAATGTGTTCAGAACAAGACAATAAGTGTAAGCCACAGATGAATGATGTGTAGTAAAAATCAATAAACCTTATAACTCGTCACTAAGGGAACTGATTTTATGCCTATAAAAATAAAACAATTATAGCAATATTAATGACAGATTCATCATAGTAATATAAAAAGTCCAACTGTGCTTGTCTGTTGGGAATCTTTAATTCATCCTTCTGTATTATGTATTCACAAGGTGGAAGAAATGGAACCAACTTCAAGAACAAGCTTTAACTTGAAGTAATTCACCCTGTCAAAAAAACAAACACAAAACCAAACACAACAGTAAAACTTTAAAAAACCATTTTGACAATCAGTATAACAGGGATAAGAAGGAAAGGACAGAAGTTAAAGCCTTGGAAACCTGACCAGCAAATCTGATTTTTTTCCATATCATGATTAGTGATTTCATGTTAACGGTGTTAACTGCACTATAACAAAACAGGTGGCGTAGCCACATAAAATACGTACTCTGTGCTAATGCAGGATAAGCACAGCAAAGGACTTTTTTTTTTTTAATTGTCAGGTCCTCTGTTTTTAGATAATACAGATATAATAGGAAAAAAATTGTCTGTAATTTACAGCACACAGAGCTGCTCTAAACCAGTCATTAGATATTTAAGAAAGTTTCTAATAGCATCCAAGGTGTTACTATGGGCCTTACTGAAACCTGTCAGGGTCAACTGAAACAGGCTCATTCATTGTCATCTGGATTAGGCCCCACTGTGCCCACTGGTAGAGGCCAGCCCAGGTGGGGAGGCAGGGATGGCTGTAGGTCCACACCAGTAAGTGAGCCCCAGGGAGGGCCTCAGGGCATACACACACTAGTACCTGTGTGGCAGCTGCAGCCTCTGCTGTCTTTGCCTGTGACACATCTTTCAAAGTGGGCCATAGGCACCACGGAAGTATAAAACCAACCTTTTATTTATTATGATTGCCAAATTGTTTAAGGCAGGTATAAAAATGAAAGCATTCAATATACGTTTTACATAAAATAAACTAGATCACAGCATAAAACAAGTAACCAGACAATGGCATTAAAGTCTCTCTTCTAAAACTGGGTAATTGTAAACATTAAAAAAAAGACTGCAGGACTATTCAAGTAATAGAACAATCACAGGTGTCTTCTGGTACGCAGGCTATTAGGTTATCCACCATTCAAGATTATCAAAAATGACATTTCATTATTCACAGATGCTCATTATCTCCATTTAAAATCTATACATTATATACAACACAGTTTTTGTGGTACTAGAATCCCCATGCCTTCCAAAGTTATATTTTTCACAATACACAATTACAATGAAACAGTGAATACAGTAACATTTTACACTGATGCATCTTAATAGGAGCCACCAAATAGACGTCTACGTTGTACCAAAGTGTCATCACAGTTAGCCTCTCTGAGAGCTTATGGGAAATACCAGAAGGGTATCCAAGGTTCAGGCACACTGATACATAACATTATTTATTTACAATTGGAAAGAAAAGGGAAAAAAAAAAAAGAGAAAAAAAAAAGAAGGAAGAAGAAAAGAAACGAACAGCCTTTTGTGGTTTCTAAATGCTTTCTAAACATGACAAATACGTATCTCCTTTTACTGTGTGGTTCGCAACTTAGCAGCAGACCCTGTGTGCGAGCCTTGGTACTGATACAAAAAAAGTAAAGAATATATATATTTTTATATATATATGTATATATATATGCATATATATATATATATATAGAAAAACAGAAGTCTAATTACAGCAACATTTGTTACTCTGTGATAAAATCTGCAATTTACAAAAATGAAATGACTGGTTTTTGCCTGCCATTAAGGCATTTCAAATTAACACCATGGAACTGATGTCTGTAATAAAGCGCTTCCTCATGTGATCCAGTCACATGACAATGTACATTTCCAAACTCATCATTCTCTGAAAAGAGAAAAAAGAATGTTTTAGTATGCAGCATCCTTTCCTCCTAGGTTTTTTTCTGAACCTTGGATACACCACAAAATGAAATCTGCACAGTACTCTCAATCCCAAGAAGGACAGACAGCAAGCCATGTCTTCATCCCTCCCCTGCCAGGAATACCACACTAACAAGTAATTTGTCCCAGAATTTATCTTCTGGGTTCTGACACCATCAGCTCCCCCAGGGCTTCAAACTTTTCTCACGCAAATAATTCTAGCTACAAGCCTCACACACTTGCTTATTTTCAGAGTCAGCTTTAGAAAGACAGACATAACCATGGAATGTATTAAACTCAGACTTAACATGGCAGTGATGAAAGAAGCCCTCTGTTATCTTGGCTTTTTCATTCAATGTGGGATCACTGTAATACAGAAGAGGCTTTCCTCTTGAAGACAGCTGGTTGGAATAGTAAATTCTACTGAAAAGCTAATAAATAATTTAAGGGTAAATGTGTGGAATAGGCACGTAAATTAAATATGATGTCACCTCTAGTGGACTCGCAAGCAAACTGCTCTGAAAGCAAAATCAGCAAACCAGGCAGACTTGCAGGATAGATAAAATCCTAAGTTTTCCTGGTACTACATGGATCTAACTGAACATGAACTTTAAACCCCTCTAATAAAAAATATGTATGTTAAATTATATTTCATAATAATTTGTTTTCTCTTAATACCAATCATTAAAACATAGTCTATGGAAAATCTCAGAAGATGGACTACTTGTCCCTTGCTAATGATCTATGTTACAGTTAAAGGCTACAACTAGGGACAAAGTGCCACCTTAAGGAAAAAAAAACTACAATTAATCCAAAGTCCCGGGTTTTTCTTCACCCTTAAAAACTGTGTCATACTGCAGACCATCAGGCTATAAAATCTATGATTTGCTTCTTCATCTCTCTATCTGGCAAAGATATATAGTGTAAGATTTACCGGCTATTTACCTTCTTTGTGCAGGAAACATACCAGATGCAGATGCCTGCGCAGCCACCTGCTGAGTGGCAACAAGGGCAGCAGAGGTCAGTCCTGAGGGAAAGAAGAAATGAAGGAATGTTGACGTACTTCTGGTTTTAATGGATTTTTGTGCTTGGAAGTATTAAGAAACATCTCTTAAGGCAAATGGACAAAAAATCCCACCATCAGAAAATGGTGGGGTTTTAACACTACATAAATGGCAAGTATTTCAGGCAACAGCGTTAAAAAACAGTTTGCCCAGTATGATCAATATGCATTCATACAGTAAACTGAATTTTCCTTGATATATATTTTATAAGAAAATACAGCATTGCTACTTATTGTATTTCTTTCCAAGTACTGCACTGCATGATGCTGAGTGGTTTGTGTGAGTTCCTGAATAGGAAGCTCAGCAGAAATAATATGTACCAGGAAACAAGAAGAATCAAGTCACAGTGAATTATAGAAATGACATGCCAGCTGCTCAGAATACAATACTTTCATAATAATTTACCATTTTTACAGTTTTCCTACTGAACAAGCATTATGCATGCCAAAAGGCATACGGAATTACTGAATCAAACTGAGAAATGTCAAGGCTTTTACACAGGAAAAATAACTGCTGGGGCACCAAGTGAACGTAATGAATTAATGTCATTTAGCCACCAATTGTGATAGCATGTACTTTGCTGCATGGGAGGAAATCTCTTTTTAATTCAACTAGAGTCCAGAGTTAGAGAAAAACAGTCAAAGACTGGTATAAAACCTAGGGAGAATGAATCGTATCTTACTGTGCTACTTCTCTGACTGCAGCTTTGTGCACTGCATTTGCCAAAATACAAAGAGTCCTCTTTCAGGTGGTCAAATTTGTAACAAGCTGAAAGCCTTGTGACTGCGATGCCTTGTACATAAAATATGTTCAGTATAAAAAGCCTTTGTCTTTGCTACACTTCTTCCATTGCTTACACAACCCTAATTATACAGAAAGGGGGTTGTTTGGTTTGCTTTTTTTACTGCCTTTCAGCCAGTTAATGTCAGTTTGAAGTAGGAATCAAAACATTCACATGAATGACAGCCTAACTGGTGCATCTGTAATAATGCTCTAACACGCAGTTTTGGAAATAAAGCTTGGTATTTCTCAGGCATAAGGCTATTCATTCAGTCATGTTAGTCAATGCTGTGAATTTTCAAGCCTTCTTCCTAAATGTAAAGCACTTCTGATTAACAAGGGGATCTCTATCCAAAATGCTTCACATTGTCATGATTTCCAGTGTCAAGGTAGTAAGTTGATGAGGCAAGCTAATCCCACCACTGGAAATCATCTGCTCACCTTGAAATGGGTCATACTGTCCAGGTATAAGGGGGTAACCCATTCCAACGTGTGTGTGATGGTGCGTATGGAGATGCCGCTGACTAAAAGGAGAATGACGGTCTCGTTCCCTTTCTGCTTCCCGTTCTCGCTCAGCTGCTGATTTTTCCACAGGCTTGTAAAAGAAAGTGTAAGAAAACTGATGTGAGGATTTAGAAGGGATGAAACAACAATCAAACCAAACTTGCTATTGCCTGGCATCAACCTTATGAATTCATATGATGAAGCAGATCTTTCCTGAATAAGTATTGTCTCTGCTATATTATTTGCATTTGATCCTAATCTAAAGCTGGTGTATCTGGCTAATGAAAGATATTCCAAGGCACAGTGATTTTGAGGCAAACAGACTGCAGCCTGAAGCCACCATGATGACTTCTAGTTTTGGGCTCCCTTAAGCTTCTCTGACTTGCCAATGTAGGAACAACCAAGCTGAGCTGCTGAAAACTGATGTAAATGAATCTTCAGCCCTCTAATGCACTCTGGGGATCAAGCCAGCCTGCATAGCAAGAAAGCCCTTTTAAAAACAGAATCAGAGTCAGAGTCAGTGACTTGCTCACAATTAAAACTAGCACCAGCTTATCTGAAAGTAAAATAACAGCATATACTCCAGTAAGAAAATCTTCTGAAATAGGGGCTGGTAGTCTGCTATGTGGGAGATACAGCTTCTTGGGAAATATATGGAGGGGATATTACCAAATCCCACCGCCCAACCTGTCATTTCATTATCTGTTTCCAAACAGGAGCTTCCTGTTTAACCGCAATAAACTGCACCAGGAGGTATCTCTGAATCTATGCGTCCATTCAAGATAGAAAGATTCTGAGCACAGAACTGTGTTCGATGTGTCACTTCCAGTTTATGCCACAGAAGCACCCTGACTATAAATTGCTTTTATTTTAAGCCATACTATAAAGAAGAATCATGCACTCAGAGCTTGATGCCAGATTGAGTGCTTCTTAAAATTATGTTCTCTATCCCTTCCCATATGTACCACTCTTCAGTAACAACAGATGAAGTCTTACAACAGGGGACTTGCTGCGATATTGGTTGGCATGCTGCTGGAGCAAATCCAGTGCTTTGGACTCAGTGGCTGATTTTGCATTGATGCTTGGACTGGTATTGACTTTCTCCGTCTCTTCTCTCCCTGACATCTTCCCATAAACTGGATAATGAAATCCTGGGGAGAGATAGGCCCCTGCAAGTAAACAATCAATACCACACTGAGTTATTGGTTTTATATACTGGTTATATCAAGGTGGCAGGAGGGGACGCCAGGATAGAGGATAACATCAAAAATGGATCACATGACTATCAAATGGCATCTTTGCTCTTCTATTTCTTCACCCTAATTTACCCTGATGAATGGAGGCTATAAAGAGGGTTGAGCTGATAGCCACTTCAGACATTTATGAGTCCTCTTTAAGTGAAAGGAATAGTAACTGTAATGGTTCTGACAGTAAATGCTTAGAATATTTTTATAGGCAATAAACTATCTGTCAGTCTAACAGCAATAGCAGACTGTCAAGGGCTGAGAAAACTGTAGCTGGGAACTGTGACAGTTCATAAAAGGAACATCTTGTATTAAACAGTTTCATCTACAGAACTTTCTCTAGTGGAAGCACAAGCAAAACAAGTGTCACCCACGAAGCTTCTAATTTACCCTAGCTACTAACAGAAACATTAAAATGCAGTCTTTAGTGCATTTTGAGGGTGTAAATCTTAACTAGCATGCATGGGAAATTTTAGAATACATACCAGGATAGCTGTGCATTAGGACAGGAGAGACTGCACGGTAGGCTGGATGGCTGGGATCGTACATCTGTGGATAAGGATAAGCATGCAAGTACTGGATATACGACTGATGCTGACTCATTGGTGAGGAAACTGCTACTCTAGCACCCCGAGAGTCCTTCCAATTTACAGGAGTCTTACGATCATCGTTTTTTATCTTGCTCTCATCCACTGATTGAGAATCAGAACGCTTGACCTCTTTAGGCTCCTCTTTAATGCTTGCTAATGAGACAGGAAGGTTAGGTAGGGAACTTTCTTTGTTAGGTGTTTTTCTAGGGCTTTCTTCTTTTAACTTTTTCTCACGATCAAGTTCTTCAGATTTTTGCTGATCAAGGTATTTGGGCTGATAGACATAATGATGCCATGTTCGTGAATCTGGATCCTAATATGGAGGAGAAAAAGCAATTTTGTTCTGAATTTAGATGTTGCAATAAGATCATTATCGATATTTCCCCTACTTCAGCTAATATTTTTTAATAAGCTGTTTTAATAACATATCCCTGTTACGTACAGGAAAGTTTTCCTTGCTAGAGAGTGCCTTGAGCTCAAAGCCAAAAAAACGTTCCAGTGAAGGAGCAAGAGAAGAGTAACAAAATTTAATTAAATTGCTTCATTTTATATCCCTTTTCATGTCTTTAACTACATATAAATACATACACAATGTACCAAAGTTCCGAGATCACACTATTCATAGAACATTGTAATTAAATCCTACAGAGAGATTTTCCCACTAGAGAGAAAAAAATACCTGTGAACAACAAAAATAAAGCTGGCTAATGATATGCCAAAGCACTTAGATTACCTGAAACAATGACCCTAAAAAACTGATATAGCTGGAAAGATGCTAACGCGGCCTCTGATATTAAAAACATTCAGGAATCAGTGGAAGTCATATATTAAGGCAGACTTCTTCAGCTGACAGTCTTATTCCAAGTTTGTAAAATTACACATGGGTAAGTTTTTACAGGATCAGGACCAAATGGTTTAAAGAACATGTACAGGGTATCATATTTTTGCATAATATATTACATAGACTAGTTTATAAACACGTTCTAGAATTAAGTAGGTGAGTTCTGTTACAAGACTACATCAAATCAGTACTGAGCTATAACTGGAAGACTTTTTTTTTTTCTAATACATAATATGCAAGAGCTAATTGTAAACACTGTCTCTGATTTATGGCATATGCAACAGAAACGTAAGCACAAAACTGGACACTTGGGCAGTCTGGTTCAAATACCCATTTGAATCAGCAGAAATCTTCTCCTACTTGAGGCTGTACCATCCCATCTCCTTTACATGTCCCTAAGGTGAAGTCTGGGATGTACTGTACACTGGAACATGCAAGTATCAAGCACTGAGGCTCAGGTTCAGAGCATGAAGGTGGTTGCATTGCCTCAAATGAAGGCAATGTGACATCTAGGAAAGCCAGCATGAAGCCACTGGATGAAATTCTGGTGCCACTGAAGTCAATGGCAAAACTATCACTTGCTTCAGTGGACAGAGGATTTCATCCATTATGTAGGTCTGTAGGGGCTTGAGGTTGGTTTAGGAGAGATGGGGAACTTAACTGCTTCAAAAAGGTCACCTTGGGTTAAGATAAAGAGCTGAGCTTCAAGCCAACTCTTCATAGAACGTGTTCACCCATCTTTGGTAAATGCCAACTGTTTTTTTTAACAAAAAAAAAAAAAAAACCACTTCAAAACATCTTTCAAATCTACTTTAACTCCCCTCACAATGAAAGCCGCTTATTTTGCTTGAAATTTCACATTTCTGAACTAAGCAAACTGCTTTACAATTTACATCTAAAAGAGATATCTAATTCCATTTTATTCATGCACGTAATTTAATATAGTCTATTCAGGTCTTCAGCCTGGGTTCTTTTACCACCTTGCTAGATTTTTTTTTTTCTTTTCAAACAGCTCAACTGAAAGGTCTGTTGGTCTATTCAGAGACTGCAGTACTATGAAAAAAGGATGGTGGAGCTTTTTTGGCAGCAAAGGTAGAAGAACATAGCAGATTCAGGAACAAAACCTCCACTTAAGGATGAATCAAGACACTCTTGTTGACTTTCCTGTAATCTCACCTGTTTAAATCTTGTAGTTGGATCTACTCCCGTTTGCTTCATGGAGTCCATAACAGATTTCATCTCCACAGCCTCCTTTATAAGCTGGTGGTTTTCCATTTGTTTGGCTTTGAAGCTGTCAGCCTGAAGCTGCTGCTGGTGATTGGAAAGGATCTGTGATTTGCTTGTCTCCTCACCTTTACTAGGAACTGATGAACCTATTTTAGTGTTATTTTTGCTGGACTCCAGATTTGAAGGGGGCTTTGAAATAGTGGCAGATGGAATATTCTTCTGCTTGTTGTCATCCTTCCCAATCTCCTTCAAGGGGGGGTCATTCTTTCTTTCACAGTCCCTCCCAGTTTGTGCCATTTTCTGTTCTGCGAGTCTCTGGTCCTCATAGTATTTTTCATACTGCTGCCTGTAAGCAGGGTTAGAGGCCATTAAGGACTTTTGGTCCATATAGAGCCCATAGGCATACTGTCCATAGTAAAGTGACTGAGCAAGTGCAGGGTGTCTTTGAGTTATCACTGACTGATGTTGTGGCTGCAAATTAGAGGAAGTGCTTTCACTTTTCTTGGCATCTGACACTTCTGCCTTCTCTTTCTTTTCAGCCTCTTCCTCAGCCTCTTTTTTGATCTTCAGTCCCTGTGGGGTACTGCTGCTCCCAGCTGCTGGGGCACTGACCTGTCCAGAGTGCAGGTAACTTGGGGAATAATAAGGATCATAGCCATGGTAATAGGGAGAATGGGACTCTTTTGCTTGAGCCGATTGTGCTGTGGTTGAAGAATGTCCTTTTACAACACCATCCTTATTAGAAATAATATCCAACGGAGAGCTGGCCTTTGACCTCATGCCCTCTGACCTGCTGTCAGAGCCACCATCATCAGCTGCATCAGAAATATCTGAGTAAGCGGGGCTGCTCGTTTTAGTGGCTGTGCTTTCTGCACCATTTTGTGTCAACACATGCAGTGACGCCATGGCAGACTGTCCATTCACCAAAGTGCTGCATTCCATCCTGGAGGCACTCCCTATGGAAGGGCTGGGTGCATTGTCTGTGAAGGTGTAAACCTTATCAGCTTCAGCCTTGATACTTGCCATCCTGCTCTCCTGAGACTCTGACAGTCCATTAGCTAGCACTTCATTCTTGTTGAGATGGTCCTTTAAAAAATGTCCAGATAAGTCTTTCCCAGACCCTTTTGAATCTTCCAGCTTTCCCAGCTTAGAATCCATCTTGGGGCTTCCCATCTCTTTGCTTTCTTTGTCCTTCAGCTTTCGCTTCTCCTTTTTCTTTTTGTCTTTGAGTGATGTGAGAGCTGGGTTCACAGTGCTTGGCTCTCCCATAATTGTGGGCTTTGGTTGAATAGGCTTTAGTGGAGGGCTCTTTGGTGTAGCCTGAACAATAGTAGTTGTTAGAGAGGGCAGTCCCGGTATTGTCCCTGTGGTTGTGGTTGTAAAGGCTGTAGTAGGTATAGCTATTAACTGGGGAGGAGTCGGTGCTGGTGCTGGAGCAATGGGCCTGGCTGTTTTCAGTTTGGAAAGGTTTTTATCCACTTTGCAATTGTTTGCTTTCTTGCCTTTATCACCCAAACTCTTCTTGTCAATGAACCCTTCAGCCTCCAGTTTCGGCATTTCGGTTTGCAAGCTGCCATCAACTACTGAGCAATTATCCAGTGTGGTTGCCATATTAGAAATTACCGGAAGGCTGTTCAATTCACTGTTGAGACCTTTCTTTTTGCCAGAATTCTTGCCAGTTTTGGAACTGATAACTGAAGCAAGGCTGTTGCTGGTCAGTTCCCTTTTTCCCCTGGGGGTCCCTGGGGTAGTGATGGAGGAAGGAGATGTTGGTGCTTTCAGTGGATCAAAGCCTGGCAAATTTGTGCTTGGTTCACTGCATTCAAGGGCCACATTAGTCAGTGCTTCCTCGCAGTCTGAAATTTTGTCTTCACTGTCAGGCTCAAACTCCAGTTTGTTTTCTGGGTCTAAATGTGCATGAGCCTGATGGTATCGTAGTCCATTAATGTGCTTGTACTTTTTGTTGCAGTTGGGGTGAGGACAGTCAATCAGCATGGGAGAAGAGCAGCCTTGGTCCAATAAAGTAGTCTCAGGTTTCCCCTGTGGGGTGGTGGGAGTGCTTCTAGAGTTAGTACGAACACGTTTTCCAGATTTATTGTCCTCAGAACTGGAGTTCAAATCTAGCTCCATTGGAGGCTTAGTTTTCCTCTTACTGGTGGCTGAGGGGCTGGCTTTGACTTCATCCATGGCGCAGTTTGGGGGTGTCCTGCGCCCAGTTGAGTTAAGGCTGCCCCTCCTGCCCTTCCCATTGGCACCACCTCGGTTCTTATTCTGAAGTCCTCTGGACTCTGCAAAACTGGCCTCGTTGCCAGGTACAGCTGCAGCAGACCTTGCGCGCTTCCCCCTGCCTCGCCCTCCACGCATCTCTAGGTCACTTGTTGGCGACTCACAGAACCTGAATGAACAAGAGCAGATTTTATCAGCTGTGGAATGAATAAATACCAAAACAACACCACTTCCCACAACAGAATATTTGTACTTGTTAAAGGGAAGATATCCTTCTGCCAAACTAAAATGTTACAGTCTCAATGGGAAAGTAGTTTAAAAAGAACAAAAATGGTAAGAAGAAGACCACCTAATCAGAACAATGGAAAGAGAATTTTTCCAAGCTTACTGAAATGCATTTTTAAATTAACTGCCCTCTGACTCATTCCCATGCATTTCCCCTTCCCTCGCAAAAACACAAACCAAAAAAAACAAAAACCAAACCAAACTTCCACCCCGCATTTCAATGTAGGCAAGGGGCAACTGGTTCAAACTTAAACATGGAAAGTTCAGGATAGATATAAGGAAGGTCTTTACTGTGAGAGTGGTGAGGCACTGGAACAGGCTGCCCAGAGAAGCCATAAATGTTCTGTCCCTGGCAGTTCAAGGCCAGGTTGGACAGAGTCTTGGGTGACATGGTGTGAGGTGACCCTGCCCATTGCAGGAGGGTTGGAACTAGATGATCCTAAGGTCCTTTCCAACCCTATTCTATGATTCTAATTACTCCTTTCACTGGTGCATGTTGCTAATTACAAGCAGTTGTTTTTTATTAATCTCTGTGCAGTGTCTTGACACAAACTGAGGGTTAAAATACAGCCAAGAAAAAAGAGAGACCCAGAACAATCTCCCACCTAGGAGGGGCCCAGTCGTGCTTTGTACAGTCCAGCAGTGTTCCCACGTAAGTCTTGTTCCTCCATGTAACATTTACCACCAGGACACCTGCCAGCAGAAGTAAAACAAAGTATCACAGTCAGACCAGTAATTGGGGTAGGCTTTTTTGTTTGGTCTTTTTTCATTTTTTCTTCCCCACAAAGCGAGAGCTTTTTTCTCATTTGCTTTCAAACACTGTGGTCTATATTCTGCCTTTTTTTCTGGTTTCAGTTACCTCAAGTTAAAAACCACAGGAAAGACAGCAAATGTCAAGTAACAAGGAGAATGTGTGTGCGTGTGTGTGTGTAAGATAGTGTGCCTGTGTGACTGTGTGTGTAATCAAGATACAGCTGACAGAAGGAAATGGGTTTTGCCATGTCCTGCTGTAAAACAGCAACACTCACCTCTTAATTTTGCCATTATTGAACATAACTGCTCTCGTTTGGCAGCCAGCCAGCATAAACTAAGCACCAGCTACAGTGTTTAAATCAGTAGGTGACTGAGAAGAATCTGCTTTGAACAGTATGATAATGACGCTTCTATCTATTTGAAAGTGCATGTAGCCAAATACACAAATATACACATGTACGCACTGCAGGCTGTGTTCAGCAGATTTAGATGGAAATGTGTATTATTTGCTTTGTTTCTTCTTCTGTGGAAAGCAAGGGTACTACTCATGAAACAGCCACCACACAGTAAATCTAACTGGAACTGCAATACAGTTACATAGAAAGAGGGATCCTTTAAACAAATACACTGTAAGTTAATTGTTTTTCCACTTGTGACTGTTATTAAATCTAAATTCATCTGTCCACCTACAGAAGACCTTGAATTTTGGTTTATTAGAGTTATACATATAAAATGTGTGCATGATAAGAATATCATATGTAACAATAAAATACACGTGGGGATGCCATTCAAATGTTTTCAGGTTGCCATCAAACACTTCTTCACATATTTTTCATAGGGTTTATGGACTAGATGGCATAATCACCCCTTTAATGCTTTCACTTCTACAGATAAACATAAGGTAGTATTACTGAACCTGCCATCTCATTAGAACACACACTGAAATCACAGAATCATAGAATGGTTAGGGTTGGAAAGGACCTCAAGATCATCTAGTTCTAACCCCCCCCACCATGGGCTAAACACATGAAGAAAACATGTTTCACTTAGCAAAGACAAGCACTGTGCAAAACGTTTCCAGTTCATGAGAGGAGTGAAGACACTACCTCACGGCTACTAGCCTCGTGACTTGATTTTCCCCCATGCTTTCCTTGTTGAAACTGTAGCATTTCTACAGCAGATATAATAATGGCGTGGTGCCAGAATGTTTCCATCCCGTCTTTTCGCTTTAACTTACCAGGGCCATTCCTAATTACCCACTAAAGCGATTCCCCCGTCTGCCACAGAAAGGTAAACATGCAACCAGCCACTGATTTCCTCAGGGGGTTTTTAACAGCGGGGGAGTATTTGTATTGTTAGTGGAGGTACCGGGGAAGAAGGGATTTCCTTGAAAACGCTCTGCAGCAAATTTGAAAATGACTCCCCATATGGTTATACTGCCGTTACGATAAGGCGACTGGAATTCCGTGTGCTGGGGCGAACTGGTTTGAAGGGTGAACGGCAATCAGCTCCCACAGCCAGGCATCGAACACCTGGAAGGATCACGGTTAAATAGCTATGCCTTATTTTTATGACCTACTCAGCTTGGCAGCCTAGAAAACAAAACAAACACGTTTTACTCTCACCCCTTCGACAGAGACCTCCACCGGAAAGACCGGGGGCAGGCGCTGGAGACGGCCCGCTAAAGGAGCCCAACTCCGCTCCCACCACCGCTGAGAAGCCCTCTCGCCCCTAACCCCGCCGGGCTCTTCGGCCCCCGCCGCCATAGGCCCGCGCAGCTCCGGCTGCTGATTGGCAGGCCATGCGCTGCGATGTCGTTGCCGCCAGCCCATTGGTGGCCGAGAGGCGAACTGGGGATGGGACGGGCCCTGCCGCGGAGCCGAGCCGAGCCGAGCCGAGCCAAGCCAAGCCAAGCCAAGCCAAGCCAAGCCAGACTGGCGCAGGGCACGGCAGCGCTGGAGGCGCTCTCTGCCGCCTCCCGGGCCCGGACGGTGCCTGCGGGGTGTTGGGCGTCCGGCCGCCGGCACTGCAGGTTCGGCAAAACCGTTCCTGGTCTGGGAGGGGAGAGGTCAGGCCCGGTACAGCAGATGCCGTGCCGCATCCTCCGAGTGACGGCACGTCTGGAAACCGCTACACCCGCTCTGAAGTGCGGGACTGACCCCGTGGAAGAGCGCACGGCGGGGAGTTGGGTTTCTCGCAACAAGCAGCTCCAGGCTTTGTTCCCACCTGCCGCTCCACACCAGAGGAGAAGGGAAAAGGTTACCAATTTCTCTGGTAACCTTGATGCGTTTCTTCCACCTAACAGCTTGTCAGCTGACTCCATAACTCTCCGAGTGAAAACCACGGGTATTTCCCATCACTAAATTCTGTGACACAATGTACCCACCACCTCCCGGCACCAGCACCATTGCTCCCTCCTGTCCATTTACACACTGTTGGTCCAATCTCCTCCTCAATGTACAAACGAAGGAGGGCTCTCTGGCTTCCCTATGAGTATTAACTCTGCCATTCATTTTTCCTCAGCCAGTTCACCTTTTATCTTCCCTGTTAAAAGTGTAATTAGGGTTCTTTTAGGTTTGAAGTTCTTTCTTTTAGCTCAGGGTGGATTCCTAAATAAAATTCCATCTTCCTTAGTATTTGTAGGCTTGTCTATCTATCTACTTTAGTTATTTATTCATTTAGATAACAAGCCTAGGGATAGTCTGTTACCTATTAATAGAGGGCAGAAGGTAGAAGGTGTAGAGTACATAAAATAATAATAACCCCTGAAATCAATACGTATTTCAGCAATTCTTAGAAGACATTCAAATGACCTTCCAGCCTAAGAAAGTCAATACTTCAAAAGCAAACACAAGTAAGTTCCTCCCTTAAAGGCAGTAACATTTAGTATCTCATTAAGTTTGTTAGCCTTAGCAAAGGACACACTATGCAATTAGGAGGGAAGATTAATCTCCATGCTGTGTTACAGTAACTGGCAAGGAATAAATTTCATTTCACAGAATCATAGAATAGTTAGGGTTGGAAAGGACCTTATGATCATCAAGTTCCAACCCCCCTGCTATGGGCACGGACACCTCACACTAAACCATATCACCCAAGGCTTCCTCCAACCTGGTCTTGAACGCTGCCAGGGATGGAGCATTCACAACCTCCCTGGGCAACCTATTCCAGTGTCTCACCACCCTAACAGGAAAGAATTTCCTCCTTATATCCAATCTAAACGTCCCCTGTTTAAGTTTGAACCCGTTACCCCTTGTCCTGTCACTACAGTCTCCAATGAAGAGTCCCTCTCCAGCATCCCTATAGGCCCCCTTCAGATACTGGAAGGCTGCTATGAGGTCTCCACGCAGCCTTCTCTTCTCCAGGCTGAACAGCCCCAACTTTCTCAGCCTGTCTTCATATGGGAGGTGCTCCAGCCCCCTGATCATCCTCGTGGCCCTCCTCTGGACTTGTTCCAACAGTTCTATGTCCTTTTTATGTTGAGGACACCAGAACTGCACACAATACTCCAGGTGAGGTCTCACCTCATTTCCCTAATGAACAGCTTACACTCAGCCACTGGTAAGATGGCACGAACGGCCAGCAAAGGTAGCTCATTTAATCTTATACAATTATCACAGATATGGGTTAAAAAAATGTATGTAGCATGGGAGGTAAAACTGACCCCTAAGGAAACATGCAACTGGAGGCTTATTAGACCACAGCACTGGAAAATTAAAATGCAGATGAGAAATCCACACTATATATCAGGCCCCAGTTTTTTAAAATACTGGCTTTAGAAAACAAACATATTCAAATTCCAAAATAAGTGGACATTACACAATTAATCAGACTGGAAAGCCTGACTCAGTGTTTACAGCATAGGCTGCTTTTGTGTTCAGCTCACAGCAACTGCTACAAAATTCTGCCTTAGTTCAAGTCGATTAATTACCCAGAAAACTCAAAAGACAGTTATCTGAACGGGTGAATGGATATGCCTTCATTTTTGTAAAAGTTGTCGCTGCTGCTGTTCTTAGCAGAGAATCTGCTCAAAAGCATCAGCAAAATTCTGGAAAAAGCAGATCTGCCCATAGTCTTTCTGAACACTTCTGTAACTGAGTTGTTGAAGAATATTTAAATGATTTTCCAAAACCGGGAATCATTTGCTTGCTTTTCAGTCACTAAACATAACTTATGTTTAAAAATCCACATAAGTCACTTGGAGTCCCACTTGCTCTAAATTCCTATTTGTTTAACAGCTCTGCGTACTGCCTTTACTATTCTGAGTATAATTTTAAGACAAATCTTGCTGATGCCAGGGGAAGATCTACCAAAGTATATTGTGTTTTGTAGTAACTTTTATAAAATTACCTCTTAAAAAGTTTAATATGACAAGTTCTTACAGCAATATTCCTGTGGCATAGAAGCTCTTCAAGGATCAGATGCAATTCTCAGTATTGAAAAAGCATCACATCATCACTTGGTGTAATGTCACAGCAAAATCAATTCCTCATATCTTTATAATCATTAGATTCACAATTTGTTTGCAAACCTAATTCCATTTGCCTTTTGTCACAGCCTTGCCAAGTACAAATAATAGAGACATGCCCGCGATAGCAAAACCACAGTAAGTCTGTCATCAGTGAGTACACCACCACTACAGATTAAACACACTTCATTCTGCATCTGGCATACCAGAATTTTTAATCCCACATATATCTGTTTGACATCATTGTTCTTACAGCAACTAAAGTGTATGAAGTGCAAGATGACAATATGTAATTTTAGGATTATCTCAAGCTTTTTCACTGCTATTGGTTTAGTAAAAGCAATGTAACTCATTTGGCTCACAATATCCACATCATCATCAATCCCAGATCCACATAAACACCTGCAGCTCATCCAGCCTGTAAAAAACACTGAACAATGTTTATATTAGACTTGAAATGCAAATAGCTTAT